GATGATGATGATGATGATGATGATGATGATGATGATGATGATGATGATGATGATGATGATGATGATGATGATGATGATGATGATGATGGTAGCCACTTCTGTCCTGCATACCTAGGGAAATTCATGGTTAGGTTGTAGGTAGGAAGTAGGTGTAAGGATAATCGTCCAGCTGTAACACCCTTTTGGTGCCTAGCTTCCATGCCACCCAAAGGCAGCACGAGGAGTTGGATACTGCTAGGTTACCCTAGTCTAGACAGCGGAAGTCGAGAGGGGGAGGTCGGATTCGAACCATGGACCCTCCGGTCAGTAGATTCACGCTCTCACCACTGAGCCATCTCGCTCTGAAAGCAGGTATGGTTAACCTTGGTATGATCTGCGGGTATTACTTAGACAGATGGTCTGAAGCTATGATGCTCAGTTGCCTGATGATGAGTAGATTGCATTTTACTTATACAGACCGTCATTTTACATTCATTTTGTTCATTTAACTTGATAAGGAAAGCAGGTTCTACGGAAAATTCAGACTCTCCCGGACTGGATGGAACAAAAAATCACGCCTACTAAGGATTGCTGTTTTGTACTCTCAAACCGAGTGGCCTCTCTTATGCTTTCGGTTTGAATGGTGTCCGACTTTTTCTTCATTATGTGATCTTATCTGTTTTCCTTACTATCTTGCTTCCACCTTTTGGACAAGATATGTATACTTAGAAGGCTGTAGCATCCTGTATAGTCATCTTAGCAAGCCGAACGTCCTAGGAACCAGTAGGTTTCCACTCAATTACGGACGTATTCAAAGGCTGTATGTTTTAAAGCATCACTTTACACTTTGCGGGTTTTCAGGCAAACAGCCAGACATTCTGATGTCTCTCTGGGTTTCTGTGAAGCGGCAAAACTTGAAGTTAAGTTAGGTTTTGGCTGGACACGATTTACACTCAAAACACCCCTCAAATGTAATGAATGTCGTACCTGATTCAAATGACGTATGCCATTTTCATTGATTTTCTTTGGGCTTCAACTCTGTTTAAAATGACTGGCATGTAAGCCACAGGACTCTTGCTATATGCTGAGTAAATAAAGGTCAAGAAACGTTTTTTTTAATTTCGTCCTGTCAGTAAATTCATCCTATGCTGAAAAGCCTAGAAGCACTGTGTTGCTGTTTGATCCTCTTTTGGAATCATCAGCTGTGCGCAGCTCACAAGACTCAGAGTTTCGAAACCGCTACTTTTCGACCATTGGCTGAACACTGAATTGTTTGACCATAATTGGCTGACAGCAGTATGACTAGCTCTCACTTGGACAGGACATAGCGTCACTCATCCTTCACGCACCGAAAACACATCACATGATCACGTATTGACGGATTCTTCGACTGACGACCTCCAGAAGGAAGTTTTACTCATCTCGTGAAATTAGCCTTCTCTGAGCCGTAAAATTTTATGCAAGCAAAATGCGTCAATTAGCACACGTCATCCTTCTATACTGTTAGGTAGAATAAATAAATAAAT